AAATTGCAGACTATTTTGTCCAACCGTATTTGCTACCTCACGACTCACACGAAATCACTCGTTCATATAGAAACATGATCAGTGATCACACGCAATGTCTCATTACCGGAATATTGATCAGGCTTCGAAGCGATCATGGGAATCATGCATATATGCGTGGGGTCCGTGTGTTATTGTATAAAAGATCTGTAAGTTGTAAATGAATTCAGATCAGTAGAGAATAGAATTGGGATTAGATTAATTGCTGGAAGTAGTTAGCATTGCCCAATTTAAGTGCTACTACTAAATTCTAACCAATTTTCAAATTTCGACACGTTGTAATGCCGTTTCCTGACCATCAGATTTCTGTCAAATCTTCTCCCAAAGTCCAGGAAATGCCATTTCAGAGACTCTAAATTCAAAAATTTTCCTGGGGGGCATGCCCCCGGACCCCCCTAGACAAACCTCGCACCTGCGGCGCTCGGCTCGTGCCTTCGGCCCTCGTTTATCAAGGGTAATATTATAGGGGCGCATATTAGTTGCCAGCCGACTGGCCCCCCCCCAGAAAAATAGTACCCAGCACGCCACTGCCCTATATAGTAAAAAAATCCTTAGAGTATACCCTAACATTATGCCAAGTTGTGTGCTTTTATCATCAAATGCACAATTGTTCTATATTTTCACCAATCTGCCCCACTAGATATATAGTTTAGCGAAGTATTAGTCATTTTGAATTTCCGTCATAGTGCAATCATAAAAAATGGTGTGAAATTTCGTTTCAAGGAGAAGGGGGATAATTAGAAAAGCGGGCTTATTGACTATTTAGAGGTCTAAGAGGGAGCTCAATAGAGAATTGTACTAATTTCACTCCACACAACAACTTTTTTTATAAGTTTCTATTTATATTTGATTTTTCGTCTTATTAAATTTTTACGACCAACAAACGACATCAGTGGCGTAACTACTATGGGCTCAGACCGGGTGAACCCGGGGGCCCCCAACCCAAATGGGGGCCCCCAGGCTTAGGCGATAGGGCAAAAACATTGGCCAGGGCCTCTGATATGTTACAATGTCGTTTTATGACCATCAGAATTCTGTAAAATCTCTCCCCAAAGTCCAGGAAATGGCATTTCAGAGAGTCTAGATTCAAAAAATTTCCGGATGACCATGCCCTGGACCCCCTAGAAAACTCGTGCATATACGGCGCTCGACTCGTGCCTTTGGCACCTCTATTAGGGGGGCCTTCGAAAATTTTGAACCGGGGGCCCCTGATATAACGTTACGCCACTGAACGACATAAAATACATAAATACTCATCATTATCCCGCTTTTGCGTTATGCGCGCGCGGAAATTGTTGGTATCAGCACGAATTGAATTTCTGGCCGAATTTTCTATTTTTCTCCCACGCGTGTCGTCCCGCGCGCGATTCGCGTGACGGGCTCCGGAGGTCCATCCAGTGAAAAGAAAAGATCAATTGCGGGCGGAAATCACGTGAGACGAAAGGGAAAAAAACAAAGTTTCAAGATGGCGTCTCAGTCACAAGGAATTCAACAACTTTTAGCAGCGGAAAAGAAGGCTGCAGAGTTAGTGAGTGCCGCCAGAAAACGTAAGAATAAAACTGTTTTAATGTCTTTTAAGTTCTGTAGTGGACAGTTGTTCACAGTTTTGAAATTTTACAGTAATATTCTTGAAGTAAAAGGGTTGATTTTTTGAATTATAGAATTTAATATGACTCTTATAATATGGGGCAAGTACAGAAGCAATGGGCTGGAAAATGATTTAAACACTGCTATAAAATATTTCATTGTCTTAAAGCAAATTGAAGAAATTCTTAATTGTAACTGATGCAAGTAGATAACAAGTGTTTGTAAAATGAATAAATACTATTAAAATAGAATAGTATTTACTCTGATTATTCTTTTTAAAACTAATGCCAATAAAATGTTCAGGCTTTCGTTGGTTGGTAGGGATACAACTACCTGAAAATATATAAGGAGAATTTCACCATGTATGTATGTGCTGTTTAAAATCAGTGCCAAAAAATGATCAAGAAAATCAATACCACTCAAATGATCAAGCTTTCGGTGGCAGGCCGGCAGGAATGCAACTACCTGAAAATATGTAAGGAGAATTTCGATGTTTCGAGCGAAGGCCATTTGTCTGGAGTTACAGTAACTCCAGACAAGGGGCCTTTGCTCGAAACATTGAAATTCTTTGTATATATGCCAGGTAGTGCATCCATACCAATGAAAGCTTGTTCATATTAACATAGCTGCCAAGGTGGAGTGATCTGCATGTGTGAGACGCCATCCACGGACGCAATCTAATGCCCCCCCCCCGGAAAATTTTAAAAATTTGGGTCTCTGATATGGAATTTCCAGCGTTTCATTCCCAAGACAGGATTTATTCACGATTGCTGCACCTTGGATACTGTAATCAGATATCATTTTCGCACCGCAAATAGGTTCAATTTATGGCGTCAAATGAGGTGTTGACAGCAAATTCACACTGATACCAAACACCTACCCACTCTACTGCGTTCACCAGATTAATTTAATACTGACTAATTTCATAGTGTAAAATAGAAAAACTAAACGCTAAACATTTCACAGGTTTCCAAAGTTTACATTGCTCTCTAGATTTACATTTTTTTATTAAACTCTTCAATCACAAGCAGCCAAGCTGGCATGCGTGAGATAAATAATACTGAGCGTGTGAGCGTGAGAAAATATGCTGAGGCGTGTGTCACACGCATAATGTGTGAGACTTGGTAGGTATGTATTAAAATAGAAGGATTTTATAGAGCATCTACACTCAATATAGCTATTTAATAAATAATTGATTTGTTGTCTCATTACCCATCAAAACATTAAAACATCACGGATCACTTTTTCCAATTTCTGTCTGTTGTAAGTAGGAACACCTTATTTTATGAACCTACACGACCTTATATAAATATTATGAAGCCGCGTTCATTTTATCTAGCCGTGTTTTTCTGTTTTTGGCCGCGATAACACAGCCCTCTAGCTAAGACCCTGGATTGACAACTGACCTCTGTAGCTCAGTTGGTTAGAGGGCTGCACCGGAATTGCAGGGCCCAGGTTTGATTCCTGCCAGAGGCCTATATAGTTGCATTTATCACAACTGCTCCTGGTTAGGCATAAAAAAATACCTGGGCCCAATACCCTTTGGGGCTGTCAATTTCCCGTTTGTAATACAAAATGACTGAAAAACGGCAAACTTCCCCAAGGCTATATTATCCGCATAAAACAACATTTTGCAACGAAACTTTGGAGTATGTTTGTGATGTTACTCTGAGTGCATATCCACACCGGGCGAGCTTGAAAAATATGCCCGGCCACGGTGGGATTCGAACCTACGACCTTTGGAATACTAGCCCAATGCTCTTCCATTGGGCTAGTATTCCAAAGGTCATAGGTTCGAATCCCACCGTGGCCGGGCATATTTTTCAAGCTCGCCCGGTGTGGATATGCACTCAGAGTAACATCACAAACATATTATTCACCTGAGTACACAACACCAGCACAGAAAAAAAGAAACTTTGGAATATTACTAATTTTGTGATACTCTTTCATGCTGTGATGAAATTTTTGTCAATTTGTCTAGACTTATTTAGATCAAAATTTAGTCTAAAATGCAAATGGTCCATTCTGGTAGCAGTAGTCATGCGACATCATAATGAAAGGGACCTATAATTTTGTGAACAACATTTTATGAACAGGCAAAACGAAGAGACTGAAGGAAGCGAAGGAGGAGGCTCAAGCAGAAATTGAAATCTTCCGCAAAGAACAAGAGAAAGAATTTCAAGATTATCAGAAAGATGTAAGTAAAATTTGGGGATTTTACATACACAATTAGCAGAATTTATATTTGGAGACAGCTTCCCAGATCTGCATACCATTAAGCTTTCTTATTGGCTTAAAATATGAAACAATAACAAAGATAGCCAATAAGATAAACAGCAATTTCCAGCAGAAAAAAAAATACAAAAAAAAACACTGAGGAGTTTTTAGGAGTGACAAAAAAAATGGCTGGCGTTAATTTGAAAATGGATGCTGATTGGTTGAGAGGAGTACAATTATTTCATTAATAGGCCTTTCCCCTTATAGCACTAGGCGCGCTAAGCATGACGGTAGGAGTATGCAATTTGCTTTCGAACGAAATGGGGTCAGCACTTGTTTCCAACCACCAAACTGACATGACGTCGTTTTCAGAAGATCGAAGAGGTGTTAAATGGCTATGTAACTAGCCCAAACCCTACCCCTACTCTAACCCCTAACCCTAACCGCAACCCTAACCAAATTAATTAAAAAATCCAAAAAGAAACAACTTTAGAAATTGATCAAATGACGTAATGTCAGTTTGGTAGATGGAAACAAGTGAAAACCACGAAATGGCTGCCGTATGAGCGATCGATTTCGTGCGAGAGAAGAATCGGCGGATTTTTAACAACATTAAGTGTCCATCAATGTCTGTTTTCTTTGCAAAATTACGAGGAGGTTTGTCACTACAAGTGGACGAAATTTCGTGGCGATCTGGGCGTTAATGGTGATAAAAATCCGTTGAGAAGACGACAAGTTGTGAACATGCTTCGCGTAAATTTGCTCGCGAAAAATTGACCACACGAACTAAAACAGGTGAGTTCGCTTTTCAACTTGCGATCGGCTAATTTTTTTTACAAAATAAGCTTAAAGGTGATCTACAGTCCGTATGTAAACAAAGCCTTTGTTTACATTTTTGTGTCCAAAATATTGAGTTTTATTCGACAACT